TAGATTTTTCGGTCCACACTGTCCTTGACTAAGGATCAAACCAAATCCAATTTAAATTGAAATGAACATTCTAAACTATGGATTTTCATAATTATCTGCAACAACAATTATAAGATATTATCTTCAATATACTAAGAGTAATAAACAATTAATTAACCACTCATATGACTCTATAGAATTTGTGTTATACTCAATTACTACTCTAGTTAAAGTTTAAAGGTAATTTTAACATCTTAATGTCAAAGTATAAATCATTCCATACAACTCAACCCCGATAGAACTAAATTAGAGAACAACATATGTAATACTACTTACTATTGACTCTTACTTGACATGTAGTATAATTTTTTGCAAGTTTTTTATGTATTCAAATTTATTTAATAATCTTGTTCTTGTAAGACATGCCTATATAATATTATAGTATGGGCCACTCTAATATTTAATGAGGTCAAACTACTCTATATATAATGTATTCTATATTAGTATATCTACTATTTAACTAGAAAATTCTATAAACATTTTTAAAACCTTTTTACTATATTCTAATTATAATCTTAAACATTTGAGTTTAATAGGCATTTAGCTTTTGATGTTCACAAAAATATGATAAAACTTGATAACTTACTTTTATTGACGTAATAAATTATTACAATGTACTTTTAAAAAATTACTACATTAGTACACATGTTAGATCTCATTTAATTAACTTATTGTTACATTATTACCAACATCTATATTAATATGATTTTTGACATATCTAAAATATTTATGATTTAAAAATATTATACAAAGATACACATGTTGGTAATTTACTATTTATTAATACAGTGAGATAATAGTTAAAATTCTTATACTCTGTTTAAATATCATAAATTCAAATTTTATTAAAAACATATAACTCATCTATTTTATACGCGTATTATAAACTGACGAAGGTTAACCCATGATACTTGATTTAGTAGAACTGAAAGCTTAATTAACTAACTTATTAGTAGTGTTATAGTGATCAAGTTAGGTTTTGTTTCAATGAATCTATATTTATAGGAGAAAAAACATTATGAAAGGATTAGATTTCATTAGTTATAATAACTTAACAAGTTAAAATTAGACCTTACCTTAATCTGACTCCGTGCACCTCAGACATTTTACCTAATACATCTATATATATACCTCTTAATCGTAGGAAAGTCAAAGTCAATCAATCCAGCGGACGAGAAAAGGTAGCACGACATAATAACTATCAACGAGACATACAATAGCTAAGTTTGGAACAACCCTTGCGCTGTGGGTCCCACTGACAAGCTGTTTGAACGGCCAAATTTCAGGCCAATTTCAAACCTCTCCTCATCGGAGCCAAAACCAAACACCCAAACACGACCGAGAGACTATTTTATTTTTCTGGAGTTAAAAAAATAGAAAAGAAAATGGAAAATTTTATGTAAATTACAAGAAGATATCATTTGTTTGCATTCTCCAGATCGGGAGACGCTGTAAACCCTATTTTCTTGGTCTCCTCGATCGATACAAACATCTACATTTTATGCAGATCTAGTACACGGAATTCATTTATTATTATTTTTTTTCTGTTTATGTTCTCTGATATATGATTTGAATTTGGACCTGTGTTGTTTTGGTTCAAGGCGATTTGCTTAATTTCCTACTTGCCCTGGAAACGCTGATCGCGGAATTCAGAATCTGCAATTCCTCTGGTTTGGCTCTGAGCTCGCATTGAAAATTTTCAATTTTTTTTTAATTTCTATTATTTATTTCTCCTATTGCGCCTAATATTTTGAGAGGAAATGATGGATGTTGCATTCAGGGATCTGATCAGGATTTTGAATCTGCTGCTTTGGTGCATGGAATCCTGCATTTCGCATATCTCTTGGAGTATTTAATGCGTGAACAATATCTTTGATTATAGAAGACATTTTTATTTTGAAAAATGGATCCAATATCTGCGGTCAGCGAAGAGCTAGCTGAGATCGATGGGCAAATCAATGACCTCTTTCGTGCTTTGTCGTGAGAACTCTCGTTTCTTTTTTATTTGTTTCCTTTTTCTAGTATATATTTTGCTGCCGAGTTGTAGCAGCATTGCTCGACGTTTCAGCAGCTTTATTTTATTTGAAAGCTTTCTTGGCACTTTAAATATTTGGATAACAAAATCAGTTTTAGCTTAGCAATTCCGTCAAATTGTTAATTACATATGGTTGCCCATAGTAAGTTGTTTTGGGAGTAATACTGGTTTCAATATCAACTGCTGACGTATTGGTGATTGTTGATATTTAATTATCCGTATTCATTTTTGTGGTAATTGGTGAACTCTTGAATTTTTTATATGTTCATTTTTATTTTTATTGTAGAAATGGGTTCCAGAAATTGGAAAAGATTAAGGAAGCTAACAGACGAAGCAGGCAATTGGAAGAGCTAACGGAGAAGATGCGGGAGTGTAAGAGGTATTTCCTTCTGTGCCTTTTCTTTATATTACTACTTTTAGCATCTTTAAGTTCCTTTGTGATATATTTTTCCTTTTGGTTTTACAATATTTGGAGCATTAAAAAATCTCTCTTGGATCTGATCTGCAAAGTATTTTAAGGAGCATGCATTATGAATGACCTTGGTAGTAGAAAGTGAAGTTTTATTGAACAGTACTGGAAAGAGAGGTGAAAGGTCCCCAGGATCTTTGCTCGTAAAACAAATAAGATCTTGAAAAATTTAAGGGGATTGTTGCCCAAATAGGTGTATCAAACTTAAAACTGGTGCCTGGTCCCTGACATGTGGCTGCACATAATAAGTCATCTTAACGTCTGTTGTCTTAGTTACTAACTGATATCCAGTTGAAAAAACATTTGCTTCAAAAATTTGGAATCTCAGTTTGGTTTATCAACCACTTTGTCACTAGGAGTTATCGCTTAGCAATTCTTGGTGTTCTCAATTCGAGTTGATAAATCATCTTATGTGTAAATAACTTCAGACACTTTATCAGTCAATTTTAGAAAGTAATGTAGCAATCTAGCACAATAGAATAGGAAAACAATAAAGAAAGTAGACAACTTGTAAATCCACAGTGGACTGACCATCCACTATGACAAGTTTGGAGGTCCACAATCATAGGAATCAACCACAATCATAGAACTGCTGGACTATGCTAAGAGGGCCTTGTTGAAGTTGTTTGAGGAATTCTACCGTAATGACTTAATCTGGTTGAAGATGATTCTATTTTCATCAATCTGGTTTCAAGAAGGATTGGTATACTAAAGTCTTTGATTAGTGCCCTTAGCTAGGTGACTTTTGTCATTAAGATCATTATTAATGTCCTATATTTGAGTTTGAGAGACATTTTATGAAAAAATTCCTATTAATCAAAGGGCTTTTATGGGTAGGCAATGCTAATAAAGTGTTGGCAGAAAGGTAAACAAATGATGGTTAGAGTAAGGAGATATGTGCATTTAGCCTCCATGTTTCGATACTAATGCGAATAATGCTGGAGGGAGATGAGGATGGAAGTTCATAAGGGCTTTAAGTTCATGAAAAAGCTTTAATTACTTATGGATAAGTTGGAGTTGAATAAGGAGTTTCTGGTGATTTTAAAGTTAGGAAAAGAATTTGTACTAAAATCTTTTTTATAAAAAAAAAAGTTAGAAAAAGACAGCTTTTTGATCATATTTCCCTTGTTGATATATTGGCTTTGGATAACAATCTAAATGGGGGCAATTGTTGAGGTTGTCTTGCTTGAAAATGAGTTTGAGGGTGTCATTGTGAAGGAAAAGATAATCGAAGACAGAAAAATAGAGTTAAACTAGATTTTTGCCAGGTGCTATGCATGGTCAAAATTCTAATAAAATAACTAATTAATAATTCGACTTTTGTTACAATTTTTGATAAACAATATACATTTTAATAAAGGTTTTAATTTGGAAATTTAATTTTAATAGAACTTTTAGTTAAATAGTTAATCTAATTTTTTAATTAAATAAATTAGTAGAATTTTTGATACGAAGTAATTTTAAGTAGATAGTTTGTAGAAATTTAGAGAAATTTCTCTTTATTTCAAAAGGCTGAAGACAATATATATACATACTTTACAATTAATTAGTTTCTTTTTAGAGGAAGTTTGACAATTAATTGTAGTAAAATAGAAAACAAAAATAAATCTAATAATGTAAAGTCTAGCAATTAGTAACAAAAAGAACAACTAATAATAGCTAGATTATTGGCCAAATCAAGAATTAGCGGTTGAAAATCTTTCCATAATCATGAATTTAATGTTGAGAATATTTCCACACTTCCCCCAAGCTGACTTGAAGACGTTATTCATTCCAAGCTGAGAACTTAGGTCTTCAAATCTTTTTCGAGGCAAGGCTTTGGTTAGGATATCTATAACATGTGACTTTGTTGGCATGTAGAGTAGTTGGATAAAACTGTCTTCTTTTTCCTGTTGATGAAGTAACAGTTAATTTCAATATGCTTAGTCTTGTCATAGTGAACTGGATTCTCGGCAATACTTAGAGCAGATTGATAATCATAAAAAAGCTTCATAAAGTCTTCTAGGTTAATTCCTAGTTCCTTAAGTAGTATTTTAATCTAAATGCACTCGCAAATTGCATTTGCCATAGTGTGAAATTTAGCTTCTACACTATTTATAGAGACCACAAAATATTTCTTACTTCTCCAGGTGACCAAATTTCCCCATATAAGAATAATAACCAGACATTGATATCCAATTTGTGATAGATACCATCTAATATGCATCACTGTGAATTTCTCTCTCTCGTTTAGGATCCTTCTTGAAGAATAAACCATTTCTAGGTCCTAACTTTAAGTATGTTATAACCTTATAAACAGTCTCTATATGTTCTTACGGATCATTCATGGACTAATTTACAAAGCTAACAGAGAATTCAATTTTTAGACGTGTGAGAGAGGTAGATGAATTTACCTTTGGTATCGACTTTATCAACTGGAGCACCTTTTCTAGACATTCTTAACTTGTGGGTGGTTTCCATAGGGTTTGTTAGTTGGTTTATATCCCAACATTCCCTACTCAGTAAGTAAATCTAAGATATATTTTCTCTAAACACATAGATGCCTTCTCCTGATCTTGCCACCTCCATTCATAGAATATCTAAGATTTCTTAGGTTTTTAAACTCAAATTCCTTAGTTGGAATTTTCTTTAAAAAAATTAGTTCTTCCATGAAGTCACTAGTGATTATTATATCATCAACATACACTATTAGACTAGATAATTTACTGTGATCAGATTTCTTTACAAACGATATATGATCGGATTAACATTGGGTTTATCCATCATATTGTACTGCTATTGTGAATTTTTCGAACCAAGTTCTTGGAGATTGTTTAAGACTATAGAGTGACTTTTTCAACTTTCAAACCTGACGTCTCGTATCTAAAGTTTCCAATTTAGGAGGGATTTTCGTATACACTTCTTCGGCTAGGTCTATTTAGGAATGCATTCTTCATTTCTAGCTGGAACAGAGACCAATCCAATTTGCAGCTAATGACAGGATAACATGGATAGTGTTTGGCTTAACCACCACTGTAAATATCTCTTGGTAGTCGATGCCATAAGGTTTGGTAAATTCTTTATTCACAACTCGTGTTTTATATTGGTCGACATTTTCATCATCCTTGTAAATTATTGTAAAGATCCACTTGCACCCTACTGGACTTTTTTGTGGGAGCAGTTTTATTTGTTAATTGATCTTTTATTGTAACTGAGGTGGGGGATTTGTTAATGGAAACATCCCAATGGAAGACAAGCATGGCCACTAATAGGGCTATGCCTGGCCGCATGTCATCAGCACTGTTGCGCTCATTTTTGTTATCCTTCCTGCTATTTTGGGCAGAGTAAAAATGATGTCATTTTTTTCAGGCTTATCAAAGATTTTGACAGAGAAGTGAAGGACATGGAGACTAGAAATGATCTGAACACCAACAAGATGCTTAATGAGAGAAGGCAGTCGATGGTAAGCTCCTAATTTTAAGTTTTACTTAGGTTGAGATCCTGTATACTATTGTCACTGATGTTGCATAGTGTTGCCTGAAATTCTTGAAGTTCCCTGAATATTCTTTGGCATGTTTATGCAGGTCAAAGAGTTAAATTCATATGTTGCTCTGAAGAAGCAGTAAGTTAATGTTTAAACGTACCAATATTTATCTAAAAAATATTTCTTTTTCTATCTGAAAAAAGAGAGAGTACAAATTTTATGGTCACAAATTTCTTCACTCAAATTGCTTCTTTTGCTATATAAGAAGGGATTTATATTTGGCTTCTGTTTCCTCTGTTAGGAATTTAATATTAGAACTAGAAATAGTTGATTCCTACAAAATCCAAGAATTTCTCTTTAAGTTGTAACTTGTGTTCCAAATAAATTCCACTTGAGATGAAATATAGTCATATTTTTGTTTTCAACTTTTCTTTCAAAGTGGTTTGTTGGATATCTTACTTGGATAGACTTTTTCTTGAGTTGCTTGAAGTATCTAGTTTCAAATATACAATCAGATCCTGCTGGTGTCTTTAACTGGAAAGTATTCTATCCTAATTTATTTGCTAAACAAGAATTTTCTATTGGTCTGATTTATTGGAATGAGGAATGCATTGATGGTGATACAGAGTTACCGCTAACCTTGAAAATAACAAGCGGATTGATCTCTTTGATGGGCCTAGTGAAGAAAATGCTGAAGACAATGTCTTGCTGGCTTCATGTAAGCTCTCTTCTTTCATTGGATATGGTTGCTTCTTACATTATATTTCTTTTTTCAAATAAAAGTATTGTAAATTTATAGGTAACAAGGTGGTACCACCCATTTACATCTCATTTACAACCCAATTAAATGATCCATGACATTGCCTATATCATCAAATCCATTGATGTCATGACCCAAAAAAATTGATCCAAAATGATCCATGACGTTGCTTCTTACATTATCTTGAGGAAGTTCAAATAAACATAGTTAGACATATGTTCTGTCTATGCTCAAATATCTCTAACAATGATTTTCTTGTTTCCTGTGGAAGTTGTAAGCAATTATTTTGAATGGTTCGAAGCCCTCTTATTTTTAAGAAAGTTGGTATAGAATTTATCAATGATCATCCATCTTTTTGGGTTTCGTTACATATAATATAGTTAATTCATCTCATTTTGCATTACTAAGATGCTATCGAAGGAATGATATCAGGCTATGGGGTAGAATGGGAGCATTGTGGCATCTGATGTATGCGTCTAGAATCTGAACGTGATCCTTCTTTTTGACAAAAGCACCTAATATATTTTGTCCTTTTCAAACTCTTTGCCTCTTTCTTATTCCCCTCTTTTGTTCTTCAGTAGGTTCTGCAAAGCTAACAGTCTGATATTAGCCCTGTGTTTTCTGTGTTCTTTCGGATTAAGCATTTGATTTTCACTATATTTACTTCTATACTCTCTTGGTTTTCAGATCTACTGTTTAGGCTCTTTGTTTCTGTATAAGGGTCTCGTGCTGATGTATCATCCTCATTTCTCACTTAGTTGTCTGTATAAGGGTCTCATGCTGTATAGGTTTCTGGCCTCAGAAAGTAGAAAGCTATCTGTGTATTGGTAAGAAGCATGAGTATATATATCCATTTTCATTTCTCTATAACATTTTCTTGTCATTTCTGTGTTGATTAAAATTGGAGGATTTAATTTCTTTCTTGATAATTTTTTAAAAATAAAATTATATAGTGGTGAATGTAAAAGCAACATGTTGTGTCTTTATGCATTTTCTAGGAACTTCGTGCACAGTTAATATATTCATACTAACAGCTCGTACTTAATAACATAATGATCTCAAAACACCCTCCATGAAATTTAAATTGTGGCATGAATGCAACTAACTGATGATGTGCCACTTTTTGATGGAAATAATGCTTGTTTTGAAGCAGCCCATGTGACGGGCATTGAAGAATAAGATATCACCAAGTTTCAAGGTTGTTGTCTTAGTTACACACGATTAAGAAATGGTTTTCTTGGTTTATAGAAATAATTTAAAGAAATGTTGTCCCAAAAGATAATATTAGCCGTTATGTCTTAATTTTCATTTAGAGAATTTATGTAAACGAGGCTGTGCATCTTTCAGCTATGACAAATCAACAATTAATAGATCGTGGAAACAAGACGATGGATGAGACTGATCAAGCCATTGAGAGGGGACAAAAGGTTAGTGTCTGGCTGTCGAACTGCTGTTATAATTGATGGTATAAGTTGAGACGACATTTTCACTATGTTTTTCTTGATGAATAATGCTTGTTTCTACATTCTAGAGATTGTTTATGATGTTTGATATTGTTTTTTAGATGGTCTAATGTGTTCAATATGTTTTTTTAGTCTCTTTGATTTGGCCGATCTAGTGCTTTAACATTATTTTTGTCAGCACAAAGAGTTTGTTCCTTTTCTGTTCTCTTTATTTGTTCACATTCAGGTTGCTGAAATCAAGAGTATTGCCATTGTTATGAAATGGATTATGTTCTGAAGCTTAAAGAACGAATTCCTGATTGTTGCAAGTTATGAGTTTGTACTCTTATCCAGAAACATGCAATAAAACTTGAAGCACTTGTTTAGAAGTTCTAATTTTGTGACACAAGAGAAAAGGGTTTAGCAACTAAGGAAGTAGCTATTAAATTAATCATGCACTGGGCTTCATCGTTCTTGTCATCAACAAGGAATTTGAGAGAAAAATTCTCTGTAGGAAGTTCTTTCACTTGAAAAAATTTGCTGAGTACAATGTTAAGCCTCTTATATATAGTATAGGAATGCTAGAAAAGTAAATTACCAAAAGTAAAAGATCTTATGTCTTAAGTTTTGCTATACGAATAGTTTCCTAATTTTTAATAGTCTTCCTTTAACAATAAACAACCCAAATAAGTACTTACCACCTGTAATGTTAGAAGGTTGAGTTATTCTTCCATTGTTTGGTT